GGCTGTTGATAAACAGCCTGTATAATTAATGAAAATCTGAGCAGAAGGATTTCGAGTGAACAAACTGTTTTAAAGCACAACATTGCGACAAATGCAACAGCATGTAAATGACCACATCCTCTCCACTAAAGGAGTGGAATGGAGTTATTTTACATTGTCCCACCAATACACAGTCCTGGTTTGTGGTTTATCTCAAACAGATGGTCTCTCTGTGTGGGGTTTCAGGAGGATTTTTTTCAGGCTGGATCAGCTGTCAGGACATCAACTCACAAAACAACAACAAAAACAATGCTAAACACAGACAGACACAACAATAAAGACAACAAAGTCACACAAACCATTGCCAAACACAAATCACCCAATAAACACTGCAAAGCAATAACAGTGAGCGCCACATAATCTGAAACATTACCTTGGAAAAAAAAAAAAAACAAACAAAAAAAAACAAACACACAAAAGGACATAGGCAAACACAAAACAATTAAATCAGCCTTCACAACAACCTGCCACAGAAGGAAATCACAACAAAAAAAATAACAATGTCAAAATCCACACACAATAAATGATCAGCTGTCAGGACATCAACTCACAAACCAACAACAAAAACAATGCGAAACACAGACAGACACAACAATAAAGACAACAAAGTCACACAAACCATTGCCACACACAAATCACCCAATAAACACTGCAAAGCGATAACAGTGAGCGCCACATAATCTGAAACATTACCTTGGAAAAAAAAAAAACAAACAAAAAAAAAACAAAAAAAAAAAAAAAAAACAAAACACACACACTGGCCAACAACATACACATACATCATAGTCACAAAACATACTCGAAACAACCCATACATACAACACAAAGAAAACAATATACCTCCTTACTGAGCAACACATAACATTACTCAGGAAGTTACATCGCTAACACCTACGACACATTACAAATACTACACAACCGGAAACACTTCAACCAAACTACTAACAGTGCTACGCTGTCACATTTCAACTACTTCATTTGAACACAAACATAATAACAATAACAAGGCTTTCAGTGAATCAGCATGTC